AAAAAAAAAAAAAAACAAACCCAAAACACTCTTAACTCTACACCCAGCAAAAGTTATATTTCAAGAATGAGGATAAGTGATTCAGGCAAAACATAGCAAAATCCAAAAATTCAAAAAAGAACAATACAAACCATAAAACAATTAAGCCACCAACAAACCTTTATTACTAGAGCTTCTAAAGATGTGCTTGTGAACTAAATGTTCTCTGAAGGAAGACCTCACTGTGTGAAGTAATAGAGCAAAGAAATAAGTAAACATTCGGCAAATATAACCATTTTCTGTTTAAAATGATGATGGTGGTGGTGATGATGATGATGATGACAGTGATGGACGGTCATGGATGTTTTAATTGCAGGGTTAAAAAACAGAACTAAAAATTGAGGAAAATAATGTTAGATAGGAAGGAGTTCTTGAAATGAGTGTTCTAAGGCTCTTGTATTATTAGAGGAGAGTCAAAAGAGTGCTTATGTTAGAATTTGTTAGATAGCCATCCTAAAGTCTCAAGGGTGGCCATTACAAAAATGTAAGTAGGAAAGAAAACAGTAAGAGAAGTAATAAAATAAAAAACACCAAGAAAGAAGAAGAAAAGCACAGAAGAAAATAGACAAGCAAATGCACATAGAGAACAGAAGTGAGTGTATATGTGTATCAAACAGATAAGCCTGGAAAGTGAGTTGTGCTTCACAAACTCTCTATGGTTAAAGACTTAAAAAAATTTTTTTTTCTTCAATCTGTCCTGGACTGCTTCTTCATTAAAGACACAAGAAAAATAAATCCCTAGAATAATCATCACAATTTGAATGTCATGGCAATGACATATTGCTGTACGAGTTTCTAAAAGCTTACTCCATTTCTGGACCTATTGTGTCTGGACCAGTGACTCTTTGTCTTCAGACCACACTTTGAATCACTGTGCTAGAGAATGTCTTTCATGTTTGTGAGGAGACTTGTGCCAAAAAGTTCATAGCAATGTTCTGATAAGAATAGAAGTGGAAACCATCCAAATGATCACTGAGAGGGCAATGACTGAAAGATGATACATATTAACACAGTGGACTATTACATAGCAGTGAAAATGAAAGACCATGTATGAACATTCAGTGAACACTAGAAGCATAATGTTAGAGGGTGGGGGATCAAGTGACTACATTATCTCCGGGATGACATCGTTTTAATGAAGCTAAAAAATAAGCAAAACCAGAAAAGTGGTTCCTTGTGTCTCCAATTAGAGAGGGGGAGGGGGATGGTGGTCACATGCTACAGATGCAGTAGTTTTAACATTGTTCTAGATGCACCAGTGTAGCCTTTCCCACCCTCTCCCTTTTTCCATTATGATTAAACAGGCTCAGTCCTTCTCCCTTCTCTAGCTGTTCCCCTCTTTTTCTCCTCAGTTTCATGACCAAGCTTTTTTTGTAGCATTGTCTACACCCTTATCTCTACTTCCCACAGTCAGGGCACCTCTGGACACCACACACTTTCTAAGTGCTTGCCTGCTTGATCTTTGGGTGGCATTTGGTCCTCTTCTGTCCTGGGTAGACTGTTATTTCCTAGACTCTGCACCCACTCTTGGTCACCACATCATCCACACAGCTCCTGTTTCCACCTGTACGATGACTCCAGATTTGATGGCTCCAAGTCACTCTCCCATACCTGGGGCATCTTTGCCTGGATGCCCCTCGGGCACCTCAGGTTCCTCATCTCATTGGCCCCAGATTGTTGTCATTCTTCTCAGGGAGGAGGTGTCCCTCTTTCAGACCAGATTCAGGAACGTGGATTCCCTCTCTGCCTTCTTTTCTTCGTTATGACCTTCCAGCGCTGACCTGACTGTTTTCCACCAGAGACTTCTAAAGCAAGCCTTGTTGTCAGGCCCCATTTCCCCTTCTGGCATCTTCCTTACCCCACCCTCCTCTTCCTCTTCCAGGCATCCCTCTGTCCTTTCCTTCTTCCTCACTATTAAGGCCTCTTTGTAAAATATTTCTACCAGGATAACAGGCAACTTCATTTCTCAAAATTCTTAGACCCAGATTATCTCCATCTGTTGATTTTTCCTTAGTGAGGATTCAGGAGGGAGACATTTGTCACCAAACTCCCTAAAATTCCCTATCACCATCTCTTCTCGTTTTCATACTCCTGCTGATTCTTCAATATGGCTTCTTTCAGCTCCAGAAATTGTGAACTACGAGCCCCTGGGCCTGGAGGCTGACATGTGGTAAGTTGTATAGACAACCCAGGTGACCTTGGGGTCCTTTCAAGGGCAGAAGGCCTCAGACTCTGACTCTGGCTGACATCATCCTGCTTGACCATGAAAACCCCTTACTCCACACGTTCAGAGCCTCTGGCTGCTCCCGGTGTGCTGGACCTGTGGCCCAGAGAAGCTGGAGGCAGCCAGGCCTGGACCTGAGGCCTGTTAGAACACAGCCGAGGCAGAGACAAGGGGAGAGGCTCACCCTGGAGGCCTGCCACAGCTATGATAAAGAAATAGTAACAATAGCTTATTTAGTTAATCAACCAAGTGATCACTGAGAGCCTTGTAGGCTCTAAGAGCTGTGTTGGGCCTGAGGATACCGTAGTGATTGATTTTCTGCACAGACAGGACTCATTTCATTTGAACAGGGCTTTATAGTTGGCTGAGTGAGTACCTTGATTGCTTGGTTTTCTAAAATCCTCCCAGAAGTTTTGTGAGGTAGTTATCATTAACCTCATTTTATGAGGAGAATGAGGCTCAGAGATCATAAGGGACTTGCCCCAATCACAGCCTGCAAGTGCAGAAGTCTGACCTTGAACTTGGGTCCTCGGACTCAGTGTCCAGAGCTTGATGACTCCAGATGCATCCCAGGTTGCTGCTGAAGACTGGGATGAGTGGAGAGGGCTATGGACTTGAGGTGACATCCTTAGGCCACTGTATAGGGGCACGTGACTCTTCCCCTTGAGAAGCATGGGGGGGAGTCCCTTGCTGGGCTGGGATCAGAGCCAGGTGGCTCTGACTTGCCTGTTCTTTGTTTTGCAGGAGTATAGGCGTCATCACCTACATCCTGTGAGTATCCCTGATGCTGGGGTCCCAACCTAGCTTGGATCTGGGGAACTGGGAGGAATGAGAGAGGGGTAGGGACAGGCAGCCTGAATTTACTGGTTTTACTCATGAATCATTTACCACGAGCCAGATGTGTTCAATCCACACAGCACACCTGAGGCTCCATGCTTTTAGCTCCATTACATACTTTTGGCCCTAGGGTTGACCTTGGGCCTTGTCTGCATCCCTACCCTGGCCAGGCATCCAACGCTCAGCCTCACCCAGGCTGCATTTCCTGTGAGAAAGTCAGCTTTCACCCAGAAGCCTTGGGACAGCCCTCAGGCTGCCGTGCCTTCCCCATCCCGCTCCTTCTTTCTCTCCCAGTCTCCCCTTCCTTCCCCGGCTCTCACGTGCTCTCGTCTTTCTCCCCAGAGTCTCTTTCCCACCCCTGAAGTATTAAGTTGCTTAAGCAGACATTTCCTGTGTAGCTCCATGTGCAGTGGATCTGTCACTTTCTATCTTTGTGACCTTGGGCAGATACTTAACCTCTGGGCCTGTTTTCCTCATCAGGAAAATAAGAATCACAAACTTCCTGCCACGGTGTGCTGTGTGGGTTAAATAAGCAGACATGTGTGCAAACTTCCTAGCGCCGCTTGGTGTTCATTCCATCAGTGCTTCTCAACCATTTCCCCCCCAACAGCACAGCTGGAACATGCTCTTTTTGTCCCAGAGGGGACATGGGGGCTCCAGTACTCACCAGCTGAGGGGGACCATCTCTCCGCATTCCTGTAAACCAGTTCTCTGACTTCCAGCATCACTTAGACTGGGAGCTCTTTACAATGTGGTGGACCCCTCTGAGCTATGGCAGAGAGTCTCAATCCTGGCTGTACCTTAGACCTTTTAATACCTAACACTGCCCAGGCCCACTGCAGATCTATTACATCATAATTGCCAGGGATGGAGTCTGGCCATCAGTATTTTTTTTTTTAAGCCCCAGAAGAACTGGATGCAGAGAAAGAGAACTTGATGCATTGCTCGATGGTTCCAGATTCTGTGTTGGCTCTTAAAACCTTGATTTTTTTTCATAACTCGGATTTCCATTTTGAAATATTAAGGAATTCCAGTGTATACAAAGCATATAGTCTTCTTTTAGCTTGTTTGAATTCTACACAGTTTATTGAGTGCCTGCTCCATGGTGGGCCCTGTGCCAGGCACTCAGGATACTGACATGGAGGAGGTCTGCCCTGTGTGCCTGGAGCTCCCTGTGTTGGAGGGAGACACCACACAGCTCAGTCGCACTCAATAGGACCAAGATTATGCTGATGTATGAACATGCCTGTGTGAGGCACAGCTGGGAGAGACACTCGTTTGCTGGGATTGTGGGAGATTTAATGAGAAAGAGATTGAGATTAATATGAACTGGCCTGTACAGAATGAGATTAATTCTCTGGGTGGAAAGGGAGAGAAGGGCTGTCTGCTGAGGAAAGGAACAGTGAGCCTGTTAAAGTGTGGTGAAATGTACTGAGCGTGTGGTAGGGACCAACTTCCAGTGTCTTGCTCAGGAGTTCAAACGTGATCCTATAGAAAATGGGAAGTCACAGGAGGTTCTTTGTGTTCTAACAAAGATAGTAGTAATGGCCACCAATTCCAGAGCTCTCAGTATGGGGCAAGATTGCATGTAACATTGTAAATATATTTATTTTTCACAACCATCATGTGAGCTGAAGAGTTTTCTTCATTTTATGGTGGAGGAAACTGGAGGTCAGAGAGGTTGAGTAACTTACTTAGGTTCACACAGCTAATGAGTGGCAGAGCTGGAATTCAATTTGAGGAATGAAATATCAGCATTTTCCCAGTGCACCTTTCTACCACTATGCTAAGACAGTGGCAGTGGAGATGGGGAGAACCTTTAGGAGATATTTAGTAAATAAAACCAATAAGACTTTTGGGCCAGTTAGATGTGGTGAGGGAATGGATGGAAGAGTCAGAGGTGACCCTTGTGTGCATTTGTGAGGTAACATAATTAATCAAGGCAAGGAGCTCATGGAGGGAGGTTAGGGCACAGTGACAATGGCACATCTAAGGAGAGGAATCCCATAAGCTGGGATATGAGTCAGGAAACAGTAGATTTGGGAGTCACTATTTGAATGACACCTTCTTTTTTAAAATATTTATTTTGAGAGAGAGAAAGAGAGAGAGAATCCCAAGCGGGGCTCAATCTCATGAATCATGAAGTCATGACCTGAGCTGAAATCAAGAGTCAGAATCAAGAGTCAAGGCACCCCTGAATGATACCTCTTGACAAACCCTGCAGGGGAACCTTACACACTCTTCTAGTCCCTACTGGTCCATATATTTCCACATCTCTCAGACTCTGCTCAAGTTGCTCCCTTAGCCTAGAACACCTTCCATCTCCTCCTCTACTGACAACCTCTTCATTCTTCAGGACACAACTGATACAAATGTCAGTTCTCCCATGAAGCCTGCACTTGGATGTCCCCTCTGTCCTGTGCCCCCCTAGTCCTTTGTCTGGTCTTCCATTGTATTCTGCTTTGTTCTCTTTGGGATTATGAAGAGTCATGTCTCTGTTTCTTCCCCTCCTTTTTCGAGTTCCTTGAAGACACAGTTTCAGTCAAGAACTTAGTAGAAGCTCCGTAAGTGTCTTGAATCGGACTCAGTTTGTTGAAAAGGCTGCTGACTGGCTGCCCAGAGTGGGCAGGCGGTGTTGCTGGGAGCCTCCCATCCCCATGCAATAGTATGAGTCAGGGTTCCCTGACTGTATCACCTCCACCTCCATCTACTTTCTTATAGTCACGTGTTCCCTCTCTGTGTGCTCAGCCTAAGTGGAGCATCCCCTTTCCTGGGAGACACAAAGCAGGAAACGCTAGCAAATATCACAGCAGTGAGTTACGACTTTGATGAAGAATTCTTCAGCCAGACCAGCGAGCTAGCCAAGGACTTCATCCGGAAGCTTCTGGTGAAAGAGACCCGGTAAGGTGACAGAGAAAGGCACGGGCTTCTCAAGTACTGACCATCTCCTGTCCCCTCCCCCAAAGATGTGCTAGTCCATTCCTTCTTTGCCACAGGCTGCCATCTGCACCATTGTGGTCTAATCTGGGCAGGTGCTGAGAAGTGTGGATTAGCTGAGACTTGGCATTCATCTTGTTTGCTCAAGTCTTTCTGCTTTCTTTCCTGTCCCAATACAAAGAACGCTGTGTGTGTGTGTGTGTGTGTGTGTGTGTGTGTGTGTGTGTGTGTGTTTGGAAGTCAGCCTAGGTTTCTCTAGGACACATTATCTTTTACAGTCTTTGAAAAGGAAAGTGGCAGAGTTTCCAAGCCATTTCAAGTGGGAGTTGGGGTGGAGGCAGACTCAGAGGGGTCAGTAAGTGGGAGAATAGGAGACCTGTTGATCCTACCCCTCCTTAGGGCCCAGGGTGAGCCCTGTGGCTGAAGAGTCAAAGTAGGAGATAGGCAGGAAATTGTAAGGTGCCTGGTGCCAGAGCATGGACTAAATGGGGCAGGAGTGAGATCCACAGATTCTAGAAGGTCATGTCCTCTTGGTCCCACAGACTTAAGAGAGAGTGCAGGGGCCTGGTTTCCCCATCTAAGGGCGGTGCTAGGTCAGATCATAATACCTGAGCAGGGAAGGGCAGAGAAGGGATCTGGGAGGCAAATAGAAAAACATAGACCAAAGGTTTAGCTGTGGAGAGCTAAAGCTCACAAGAACACTTATGACTTCCTAGAGTGTGGTGTTAAGCCCTTCAAGTTTGGGACCAGAGATGAGGGTTTATATCATAATATCATTCTACTGAGGGGTCCGCCTGGACCATTTTCTCTGGGATGCAGGGAATTCAGCCCATTCCCCAGCCATCTCTGCATCCCCCCCCCCCCATTATTCTGGTTTGATAGAAGTGGTCAAAGAATGTCAAAATGCAGGTCTGACAAGAGTAAGAATGGAGACTGTCACTCTCAGCTTCTGTATTCATGGATTGTCATTGTTTTCTGATCCTCATTGCAGGAAACGGCTCACAATTGAAGAGGCTCTCAGACACCCCTGGATCACGGTAAGGGCATGGTATTGCGTTCCAGTGAGCGGGCAGGTCCCTGGTCTGCTGCCAGGGCCAGGAGGGGTGGCCAGATGCAGGCAGCCCATGGAAAGGCCTGTGCTAGAAACATCCACCCTGGGGCACAGATGAAATCCAGTTGGGGGGTGCCAACTGATCTGGGTTTGTTCAAATAGGTTTATAAGTTTACATTTATATTTCATGGGCTCAGGTGATTTATGAAATGGAGCCCTCACAAACCTCAGTTGAAACCCTTTTCCTTTGGGGCCATCATAAAAAGTGTTCTTTGTCAGAGAGCATGTTGCTGTCATTCTCAAAGCAGTAATCAGGGCTCCCAAGTTGTAGATAGAAATCGATGACAATTAAAAATGTCAACTTTGTAACCAAGGCTCCTTCTTTCTGACTTTCGGGGCTCTGAATAAAGGATGACACTCCAACCAGTGTGTCTTTACCAAGGTGCTTCTTTAGGCACCTTGAGACCTCAGGGAATCGGGCTCAGAGATGGAAGCCTGGTACGGAGGAGAGATGGCCACTCTCTGGGCGATGCTGTTCCCTCTGGGGAGGTGGGGGTTACAGAGGGACTCTAGCCTGGCCTACTTTGTAATTGGGCTCCCAGCTACTGGTTTGTGGAGGGTCTTGCTCACAGTACAGTAAAGTGCTAGTTAAAGGCACTATGGCCAGGGGTGTCTGACTGCCTCACTTTGTAGAGCATGCAAATCTTGATCTTGGGGTTGGGAGTTCAAGCCCCAGTTTGGGCACAGAGATTACTTAAATTAAAAAAAAAAGGCACTTTGGTGGGGTGGAAATCAGGAGACCAGGATTCTGGCCCTACTTCTGCTGATTGATGAGATGTGCGCTCCTAGAGCATCACCAGATTTCCCATTCACCTGGAGGAAATCACCTGGATTGTTAAATGAGAGGCCTAGCCAGCTTGATCTGAGCATGCAGATCAGCACAGGTAGGGCTATGGAGGATGGAGACCAGGGAGGGCTGGAGTGCTCGGGAGAAGGTCAGGTTCATCTGCTTGTTAAAGGGCCCTCTAGGTTTTGAGTGGGCCCAGAGCACAGAGCTAGGCAGCTTCTCGGGCTTAGCATGCTGAGTATTGCTGAGGCCCAGGATGCCACCTGGTCCTGAAGGAGAGAGGTCTCTCAGCCTCCCTCTGTCAGCCATGGCCTTGTCTGCTCCTGCCGTGGAGTGGATGCCTG